TAGATAGATAGATAGATAGATAGATAGATAGATAGATAGATAGATAGGCAGGCAGGCAGGCAGGCAGGCAGGCAGGCAGGCAGGCAGGCAGGCAGGCAGGCAGATAGATGATAGAGAATTAGAACATGAAGAATTACAAAGATAGTATAAGAACGTATATACGAACAAATCAGTATATTATATAATTTTGTTTTGCAATGTAATTTTAGATAATAAAAAGATAAAATCAAGGTTTTGGGAAGCAAATTTTCTTTATTTGGAGCTCTTTTCAAAATATTCAGTCCATTGGAGTGGATTATTATTAGGTGGCTAATAATAAGTAAGTAAATAAATCTAATAATAAGAGAAGATGTAACAGTAATCCCTTCAGTTTTATTAATGGACATACAATATTTTATAGCGAAAAAAAATCAACAAAAGTCTACTACATTTAATAGAATTAAGAATATATATTTGTGTGTACATATACAAAGGAGGATGGGTGCTGGAAAAATAGGTTCCAGCAAATAATTATTTGTAACTGTGTGGCTCTTTTCTTTTTTAGGATTTTACTGCCGAGGTCTGGTAGATTGGCCTCCGGCAACATCTCAGAAAACATTCCATTAGGCCATGGCTTCAGAAGATAGTGATTCCACCCATCCAAAGAGAGGATCACTACCTCTTCACCAGAGCTCCCAGGCTACAGATATGGCACCCAGACCATTACTGTCTCTGCAAAGTATTGAAGGGAAAGCTCCCTTCCCGCCATCCCGGAGAAGCTCCATCATGAGCATCCTCAATGCCCCGTTTTCAAGTAGGAGAAATTCATTGGCTGCTGGAGGACGGCGCCTTTCTATTGGGCCCTGGATGCATTGCGGTCGAGTGAGTTTTTCTGGGCTACCGCTTTTTGAGCCTATTCAGGAGGTGCACTATGAGAACACCTACAAGACCCAGCCAGATAAAGATTGCAGGTTTAATTCCTCACGCACACAGCAGATTCTTGAGTCCATTCTGGCCAGCTTCTTCAATGATGTCAAATACAATCCTGCAAATAGTGGGCAGTTGGTCCAAAACCTGTCAGACCTCGTCAGGAGCAGGGTCAAAGATCTAACCCCACCACGCTACAAACTTGTATGTAATGTCTTTCTGGGCCAGCTGGCCAACCAAGGGTTGCACATTGCTAGTCGGTCCCTCTGGGATGTAGAGAATGATAGCTTTGCTTCAGCCACTTTCACAAATTCATCGCTTTTTGCTGTAATCACAGTTCATGCATTATATTATGAATGAATCCGGCTTCTAAAGATTAACTTCCCTTTCTCCTAATTTTATCTTGCTTGAGATTAAGATTGGTCAAAACCGGGGATGTATCTGGACATAGTTTAAAGTAACAACATAAGGTGCAAAACATGTGTGCTAAAATCATAGAGCAGCAAAAGGAAATCTGCCCCAGTGGGAGCTAATGGTCAATGCATCTCTTTAAGAATTCTTCTGTTCGACTGGCAGTTAGAATTGTTTGGTTCTACAGTATTACTTATGCCTTTGCTTGTACAAAAAAATTATGTAAATTCCTTTTTCAAAAAATAAAAAAATAAACCCATTGCTCTTCCTTGAGCAAAGAGGATCTTTCAAAAGAAGATTATGCTAAAGGTGCCCAATATATAGCTGTATAAGTATTTGCTGGCTTGGAGGCAAGTGAAAGACCAAAATATCAAAAAGGCCTCTGCATGCACCAAGACTTTTAAAAACCTTGAGAATGTTTGAGACATAGAAGCACACACTGCATCCTATGTCAGTGTAATTTTTTCCATCGAGGTCAAAACCTAATACTGTAAACACCAAGGTGGGGAAACCCAAACACATTCTTGACTCACCTCTTGAAGTCATATTTTAACTGATTAGATTTACCGCTTTGATGAAAGAGTACAACATAGCCAAATATTAACAATAGTGGCAGTGTTGCTTTAACACATTGGGTCAGGGCAGGGGTGGATTCTACCAGTTCGCACCTATTCACTAGAACTGGTTGTTAACATTCTAAGCAGTTTGGAGAGCCGGTTGTTAGAAGAAACTACTGGTCTAATCCTGTAAGGAAGGCAGGAAGGAAACATTCTGGTGTTGCTTACAGAAACTGCCTCTCCATTAACCCTTATTACATTCTTGGCAGGACTAGACTTCCTGTCTCAGGAACTTCTCTGGAGTTTTCTTTCCCTCTTTTGCTGGTTCTTTGCTTGTGTGGAGTGACTATTCAAAGTTACAATGGCACTGAAAAAAGTGACTTATGATCATTTTTCACACTTACGACTGTTGCAACATCCCCACACATGAGAGGCCAGGCGAGGAGATGCATGCCTCGATGTGAGTGATATTGAGTGGGCCACACCCAGCCAATAACATGACCACCAAGCCATATCCACCGAGTCACATGACCACCAAGCCACGCCTACCACCTAAGCCACACCCACAGAACAGGTTGTTAAAAAAATTGAATCCCACTCCTGGGTCAGGTGTGTCAAACTCACGACCCGCAGAATGGATGCGCCCATGCCCAATTTAGCAAAGGGGGGGGGAAGTCACGATACATCACGTGATGCCACCATAATGCTGCAAGTTTGACACCTGCATTGGGTGAACACTAATTTAGGAAATCTATACATCAAATATGAATTTGTCATCTCTGTCAACTTTGCTAAATGGGGATAGTGATGTCCAAACTATTAGCACTTATCAACTAGAAATGAACATACTGAACGTAATGCTGAAGATGCCATATGGGGATTACTCTCCCTACATAGATAAAATTACTTCACTCCACTTGATAGTATTGAAATGCCTGAACAGGTAAAATAGACAAAGTGGAAATGCCAACACTAGCCAATCTAACATTGTCTTTAGCTTTAGTAATTGCAGATATGTACCCAATCCTGTTCTAGTACTGGGAACGGATTTTAGTTACCAAGGAATGTTACCAAAAATGGCAATAAGATTTTGCCTTGTCACCGTACTGCTTTCCATGCTAACTGATAGCATATTTTAATCTTTAAGTCTATAAGAACTGAGACCACTTTACTGTAAAAAGACACGTCCCTTTTTCATCTCAGACCTTATATAGAAGTCCAGGTCATGCTGTCAACTTGCCCTTGGCATAATTTCCTATGAAAGGCTCATCACAATCTCTTATCTTCTAACTATAATTAAATGATTTAAAGTAATTAAACTTAATTAAATCTAATGTTTATTTTCACAGAACTTAAACACCTACAATTGTTTAAAACATCTTTGCTATTGCTAGTTGTTTGAATTCTTGTTGATAGAACAGTTTTACATTGCATATTAGAATGTAGGTTATTGTGCACATTTTTGTCATTACTTCAAACACACGATTGAATGATAAATACTGATAAAAATATTAACATTCTACATTAAAGCCAGAACCCATCAGATATTCTAGGTCTATAATATCTGCCTTCTCAGTTGCAAAGTATAAATTGTATGAAAAACTATTCTGGTTATTCAGTAGATACCCAAATAGCTCCACTCTACTCAGATGACAGTGAAGCATAGAGAGATTAGGAAAGGGTTCAAGTATCTCAATGTATCATTCAAATATCTGAAAGGTTGGACATCGGGTTTTCCGTGTTGGAGGCATAAAAATGTGCCCAAAGGATATGGCCATGTGTTCACTTGAAAAAATGGGAAAGCTTGAATTCTAATCCTGAATTGGGCATTAAGCCAGCTGGCTGACCTTGGGCCAATCACATTCTCTCAGAAGTAGGAAGGAGGCAATGGAAAACCACTTCTCTAAAACTTGCCAAGAAAATTGCAGGGACTTGTCCAGGCAGTCTGAATGCTGCACATGATTGAACAAAAAAGAGAAAAAAAAATTAATGTGCATATGTAGGTTTTACTGGAAAATCTTCCTATGATAGGATGTTATTGTGATGTTGTACTAAGCTTTAGAATCTGTTTATCAGGAATTATGATTGTACCAAGAATGGAAGGTGATTAAAAGAATATTTGGGAAATTAGAAACATTATTCTAGATATTTAGTTATCAGAAATGAATAAATGGAATGAGCTGGAAGGGACCTTGGAGGTCTTCTAGTCCAGCCCTCTGCTCAAGCAGGACTGTCCTATACAATTTCAGATCATTGACTGTCTAGTCTCTTCTTAAAATGATGGAGCGATGGAGCAATGTCTTCACAGGAAGTTTCTGCTTAATTCCAGGTTGCTTCCCTCTTTAGTTTCCAACCATTGTTTCTTGTCCTGCCCTCTGGTGCTTTGTCAAAATGTGAGATCCGTTTTAGAAAATGTAGAATTTTCAACTGATCAAAGGATGCAGCTATGTGTTCCTATGGCAGAGATTTTGATATATTTTACAATAACATGTACTGATTATTTAGTGTTAGTAAATCAGTGCCTATTGATCAGTATTAAACGTAAGAATTTTTCCTTTCCATAATTACATTCTTTGAGCTTGCTTCTACAATTTTT